GCCGCCGAACCTGCATACGTTATATCATTTTTAATATGTACTTTGTCCAAATTAAATTGTACACTTTGATAATTCATGTGATAATTTAGTAGGAACTAGCTGTTCCCGTGAGACTTCATCCGCATAAAATTATGAAAATTTCATTTTATTGTTTCTTCTTCTTCTTCGTTTCTTCACTGCTCAAGGTCGTTCTTGCCCTGATAAGCCTTTACCGAGTCATCGACGTTAAAATATTTTATTGTTTACATGTGTCAAGTTTAACAATTGCAAATGTCAAAATGACATGACACGATGACAAACCATGGCAACCTTGATTCCTCGATGTTGGCAGCAACTTATGGTCTCTTTCCCACATTAGGGTTTTTATCCAAAATATTTACCCCCTAAGTTTAATGGCGTGAAAATATATAGCCTAAAGCGTGAAGCAAGTGTAGGGATTTTTATTAAAAAAAGAATTATTCAAAATATGGTGTAATTGCTGACGTCTTAGGCAACAAAGAAGTGTGTGTTTACGCTTTATTATAATAGTATAGATATGTCGTGTAAAATGAGGCATGAATCTTTTCGATTTTTATTCTTATAGAAGTTGGAATCGATAGTTATAACTTATGAATTAAAAAAAACTCAAATTAATAATGACCTGCAGAATCATTACAAATATATTATGTATGTGGTATTATTTATGTATTTTAATATTTAAGTATGTTATATAATTATATAAGTATTTTATATTAGTATGTATATAAAAATATATTTATTATATTATATTTATATTAAAAGCCAGCCAGACGGAGACAAAATAACTTTAAAAAGAAAATAATAAATGAGTATTTATTACTGCTACAGCCGTACATAATCTAATTTGATTCATCAGTCATCATCAGTCATCGCTAAATTTACTTCACTATAATCAATACTAGAATTGTCCACTAAATCAATAATTTTAGTTAAGTTATAAGAAAATAATAATTTTAGTTAAGTTCGATAAATTTTATTTAAACCGAATATCGATACTTTAAAATTGTTCGCTGCGTGTTTGTTTCGTCACTACAATACCTGTCTATTAGGTACGTCATTTACTTTCATACAAATTTAATTTGTCACTTCATATGCATCTTTTATCAAACTAATCTGTCTTATTTAGACAAAATATATTCATGATTATGTGAAAAATCAAGCGAACTATCAACTATGTTTACTTTAAATTATCTCTAGGTTATTATGGTACTGACACGTTGTAAGCAAAGTCTCTAAAAGCAGATGTTGGCGCCTAAGTCACCTTCATATGGATCCCTAATGATCGACTACGGACATCACTAGCAACAGCGTCACACGGACATCCCTATTGGACATTTACTCACTCTCTTGAACTTCGTCTGTCACTCTGCGCGTTCATGCATTGTATCTCGCGCTAATCAAGTGATTCTTATTACAACCAAAACGTAACATAGTAATTAAACAATCATGAAGCTAAGTACCGGCGTTTCATTGTCCATATAATAAGAGGCATGAACAGCAGAAAAAAGGTATTCAATGAATGTTAGCAGTGTTTACGTGTTGTGCAGGAACTGCCAGAGCGGCTGCGGCAGCACGGCGGCCAGCGCGTGCAGCTGCGCCGCGCGCTCGGGCCGCACGCCGCCGTGCACGCACACGAAGTCCCCGTTCTCGATGGGGCCCGGCTCCGCCCACGTCTTGAATCTAACACGCAATATTTATATACGACAAATAACTGAAAATTGCTACATAACATTCATAAATTGCTGTATCTTACTAATATTATAAATGCGAAAGTTTAGATAGATGGATGTTTGTTAGGAGCCTAAACAGCTGCACGGATCGCGATGAAATTTGGCATAGACATTGAAAATACTCTGGAAGACCACGTAGGCTACTCACTTTTGTTTTTTTTTAATATCACGCGGACAGAGTCGCGGGCAAATGCTAGTAGAACATAATGCTGGTGTACCGCAAATTTTGTAACAAGTGATCTTGAGCACCCTAGACATTTGAATAAACACACTACATTACTGGCGACTTCGCCTTGGTGAAATTTAAAAAAAAACAATAACAATGTAACCTATGTTACTGGTAACGTAGCTTTTTAATGGTGATTTTTTATTTAAATCGGCCCAGTCGTTTTTGGATTATTTCAATACATACTAAAAATACAATTCTTTATTCTTTATAGTATTAGTATAAATACAGATTTCAGAAAAAGAAGCCTTGGACATCTTTTAAGTTATGTTGACAACTTTTTTAATCTCTATGTGATTAGTGGAAATCAACTTTAAATATAAACTTTTTAATTAAATTTGTACTAAAATACAAGGAAACATAATAAAAAAATTAAATAAAATATAAATTACTTGTTAAGCCACTGCTTGGAAATATAAAACTTGATATCGTTGGGCTCCACATTCGTCGACTCGAGAATTTCCGCTGCCTTCTGTCGTAGTAATGTCATCTGAGGGTTTACTTTCCTGTAAGAAAAACAAACACATTTTATTACTTTTATACAAAGGCAACAAAAAAGGTAAGGTAAGGTTACAGGAGTAATATGCGACCTGCATAATGCGATATGCATATGCGACATGCAAAACCGTTACAGACCCGTCATGATGTATGGATCTGAATGTTAGTCAGTAAAATGGACAGATCAAAGGAGAATACATGTGGCGGAAACGCGAATGTTAATGTGTGGTGTAACACGATTGGATAAGATATGAAATGAGTATATTAGAGGAAGTTTGAGAGTAGCCCCAGTGGTTGAGAAAATAAGGAGTAAAAGGTTAGAGTGGTATGGGCATGTTATGAGAAGGAATGGGAATGTAGAAAGAGATGGATGGAATGCGTGAAAGGTGACATGATCAAGAAGGGAGTGAATTAGATAACGGATGACAGAGTTATGTGGAGGACAACTGTTGTTATCTAATGTCAAAGGCCATTGTCATTTGTGTGTTTAATCTTGTTATTTCACAAATGTAAACAATAAAATAAAGATTTTATAATTTCAAGCCATACGGGAACAGCTAGTTAATAAAATAAATAAAAATGAGGTATATGTAAATAGTGTGTCAGTTAGTTAACATTTAATATTAAGGTTCTTTATATTGTGTTTAGTATAAGTTAAGACATTGTCCTAGTAGTAGTGTTATTGTATTTAGTATAACTTAAAACATTGTATCAAAATATATTAATAAAAATAATGGAATAAACTAAAGAAAAAAGAGATATAAGCAGTGCAAAAAAAAGAGTACGGACCAAGAGTCTGTAGTCGTTGTATTAAAAAAAGGTGTCAGTTTACCTGTAAAACAGCACATAAGCCTCGCAAGCGGCGAGGTGGTGTGCGGGCACGGGCAGCACGGCGGCGTCGTCGAACGCGTGCCAGCCGGCGGGCGAGCGCGCCACGCACGTGTAGTGTCCGCCGCCCGCCGTGCCCGAGTGACAGATCACCGCGCTCAGGGCGTACCGCGATATATGTGACGTGCATTCTAAATACAAATATACACGGTTCACACTAGGCCAGTACAGCCCGGCTCAAGCTAAGCCAGTACAGTTGAATAGTAATGCCCAGATTACACTAGGCCAGTACATTTAAATGGTAATGCCCAGATCATACTAAGGCAGTATAGCTGGATTGTAATTTCCGGTTCACACTAGGCTAGTACAGTTGGACAGCAATGCCCAGCTCACACTAAGCTAGTACAGTTGAATGGTAATGCCCAGATCGCACTAAGCCAGTACATTTAAATGGTAATGCCCAGATCATACTAAGCCAGTACAGTTGGATTATAATTTCCGGTTCACACTAGGCTAGTACAGTTGGACAGTAATGTCCAGCTCACACTAAGCCAGTACAGTTGAATGGTAATGCCCAGATCGCACTAAGCCAGTACAGTTTTGCTTACTATTTTGTTACAAAGAGATTATAAGAGAATAGAAGAAAAGAGTAGTAATTACTAAATAAAAGTATCTCCTGCCACACAGCTTTAGGCATTAACATGCCTATGGTCTAATCTGTAGGCAATCATATTTAAAAAATAAACTTTAACGTATAAAACGAAATTACCTTTATGTGTATATGGTGCCATATTTAAGTCATTTATGGGGAATGACACCCTTGCAGCGACTTTAGCACTGAACATTAACTCGTGTCTGAATCTCTTCAGATGTACACAGAGAACTTCCGGCAGACGAACCACACCCGACATCTTCACGCCGTTTCGCAGCTTATTGCAGCGGGAACAGCTGGAATAGGAAATATATGTTGTTCAACATTTCTACTTGGTATAATATAACCAGATAATATGAATATTCAGCCTTTGAACTAAAAAAAAAATTACGATTATTGCCGTGCGACTAAAACACGGAAGAAGTTGGGCTGTGACTTTTGACGTCAGTCAGACAACGATTAGATGTCACAAAATTCAGTCAATATCAGATTCAAAAAATGTTTCATCCAATTCGGCGTCATGAGGTTCATAAGGGCCTAAGACTCTATTCTTACGATGTTTGTCTGTGTGTTTGTGTGCGCTAATATCAAAAAGGACTTAACCGACTTGATTGCGATTTAATAATGTATCGTTATAAGCTTCCCTTGAAACGTAGAATTTATTTCATCTTAAACAATGCTTAAATAAAAAAGTTATGCTTAAAAACCTTTTCGAATTTTCTCCAATGTAAGTTAACATTAGATTTGGAATACCGAACATATAAAATAGGGTTCATCTTAGGCTAGTAGTTACATAAACTAGTATTACCTGTACATGTTATCGCCCTTGAGTTCGTCCGCACTGAAGAAAGCCGCCAGACAGTCTTGTAGCGAGACGACAGGGCCGTAGAACCACGACCTTAGCCAGCTCAGTACCCACCAAACCTACATTCATATATAAAAAAGGTATTTTATTGCTATTTTTAACAAACACCCATAACTAAAAGGGGTAGGCAGAGACTATTGACTTCCATTTGTAACAATCGTTACATTTAACTACAAATACATGCACTATTTAGGATTTTTTTATGTTTAAAGTATATAAATGTTGTTTTTGTACCCAGGATTCCTGTGAACTATGTTGCACATGATGGTTCAATATCGGCTGCTGACATCTTAACACCGCGAGATGTTCCCGCGATGGTATCGGCAGAGATAGATCTTGGAATGTTTCTACACGCGTCGACACCTTTAATATTGCAAAAACATTTATTTAGCAAACAAGAAAACAAATTACGCTAAAATAGCGAAACGGCATGTCCAGAGATATTCGGCAATGGCAAGGTTTTGTTGACATTTGTAATATAAAGTGACGCTTTTTAGTTTATTTTATAACAAAAGATGGAGTTTATTACAATTTTGTAAAGGGTCTTATTACAAGGACACTAGGAGGCACTAAACTTGTCGAGTGAAATAGTACCATTCAGAGAAAGTACCAGTGAAAAAAAAATTTTTCACTGCCTTGACTACATAATATTTAAATATCTAGAGTGGGCGCACACCTTTGACCAAACCATCGCACAACTGTTGTGCGATTGTAGATTGTTTAGTTGCACAACTAAAAATCAAGTAATGTGCGATCGACATAGGAATTAAAACGAGAACTAAACAGTTGTGCGACAGTTTTGTTCAACCGCTTTTAGTTGTAAACTGTTTACCCTGTCACAGATGAGACACTGCACAGAGGAGAGCAGTTTTCCGTCGAACACGTCAGACACGATGCTGCGGTAGCGCGCGCCGCGACCGCCGTCGCCGCCGCCCGCTCCTCCGCACAACTTGCTCCTACAAAACGACCTTATCTTTATTACCATAAGATACACTTTTGATTGGCAATGGAAGGAATATTTGGAACATTGTAATTGTTAAGTGCAAAATACAACCTTATTGGCTTACAAGCGGTATGAACACAGCCAAAGAGGTTCATACTGGCCACCGAGACATTTGAGTGGCGTTATAAAAAGATATGAAAACAAGCGAAAGAAAAATATGAAACAAAAAAAGGAAGAAAAATATGTAAAAAAAGGAACAGTTATGTAAATAAGTTTGAATAAAGTTGTAATGTAAATATAAAAAAAATGTTTTGTATTTTTGGCTGTTGCGCTGTGGGTAAAAAGTTAAATAATTATTAGGAATTAAATATTCTTTATAGGAATTGAAATTTTAACGTTAATTTTAGTAAATCAGATTTTTTTTACATCGTAACGGAAATAAACGGATCTTTGGTTAGATCTGTCATATTCGTGATTTTTAGGTTGTTTAGAGATTTATTTTTGACGATTTTCAATGTATCCGTAAGTTAGAAAGTTTAATATATTTAAAAATTTTAAAAATTTACTACCGTCGATATTTACAGAATAGATAGGTATAGTAGATATTATAGATAACTTTAACTGCGGTTGAGTTTTAAATTAAATTTGCATTTAATCGAAATAATCTATTTTAACATGTTTAGCTGGCAATCCTATATAAATAAATAAATAAAGGATTCCTTTCAATATTTCAAATTTCAATCTGTTTTATTTTATTTTTTCTGTATAAAAAAAATTATAACTATATTTTTTACACAAATTGCACGTAAATTTATGTAAACCTTTTAAATGTTTTTTTGCCGTCCTCCAATTGTTTGTTACCGTGCGGCTTCATCCGAATGAAAATATGAAAATTTTATTTTATCGTTTACATTTGTCAAATTATCAATAGCAAATGTCAAACCATTACAATCTTGCTTCCTTAATGTTGGCAGCAACTTATGGTCTCTTTCCCATATTAGGGTTTTTATCCAAAATCATTACGCCCTAAGTTTAATGGCTTGAAAATATATAGCTTACAGCGTGATGTAAGTGTAGGGCTTTTTATTAGAAAAAAAATATTCATAAATATTCTGTAATAGCTGACTTCTTAGGCAATAAAGAAATGTGTATTTACGCTTTATTATAATAGTATAGATTGTTGGATTTTAAATAAATCGTTTTTTTTTTATTTTTTTTTCAATATGTGCCCGTTGGTGATTGGTGAAGTTTGTTTATGTGGTCATTTATGTTGTGCTTAGTGTGGTACTTAGTGTGTCTCACTCCGGCGAGTCTATCCGCGTGTCGGGCGGCTCGCTGCCGCTGGAACAGGTCTCGTATCTCTCGTCAGGTTCACTGGAACACGACAACTCCGACTCCGAGCCTACGTCCCGCTGAGAATCTGCTGCACCTAGTTACAAAGAACAAAAATTACAATTAAACCCAAAGTAACTACAAATTCAACAAAAAATACAATCTGTTATAACTTGTTCTTATAAACTTTATTTATTATGACATTAAAATTGTAGGATTTTAGTTTTATTCGAGTTAAAAATGGCAATTTCAATTTATGGTCCAAAATGAAAAAAGCGGTTACAAAATAAAGCAAATACAATTGTCATTTAGATTTTCCTAAACATTTTCATGGCACCTAAACTATTAGATCATTTTTCTAAAGTCGCTATTTTTATATTTAAATAAAAAAGGGGTGATGTGATTTTATTTTACATTCGTACTTTATGATTGTATTTCAATAATATTTAAATTTGGATTTACACCAGAATATCGCATAAATCATAATAAATGCGGAAATTTGGATGGATGGATGTTAGAGATTGTAGCCTGAACTGTTGAACGGATCTGAATAAAATTTGACATAGATGTAGAGGATAATCTGGAAGAAAACATAGGCTATCTACTTTAATTATTTTATATCTAGTTAGATATTAGTTTTGTTACCGTTAATTGTATGTGTGAGGGCGTTGTATGTGAACTGGTGAGTGCCCGCGAAACTCGCAGACCTCCTGTGACGGGAGTTCCCTCCTTCCGTACTTGATTGCACTCTGAAAACATACATTTATGTACTTTTTTACTATTATTAATAGAATAGAAATACAATAAAATAGCATATTGTATTGTATATTAAACCATTAGATCTCTGCAGAATAAAAAAATGTACATTTTATACAGAAAACTCATCTACTAGATATTTTCCTTTAAAATACATGACGTATTGTGGAATCGTTCCTAGAGCACAACTAAATTAAAAACAATATATATTATTGTCATGAAATACAAGTCAAAGTGTATTAATATTATAGTAACATGGGCGTTGCCTATAGCATATAGAGGAGTAACTGCCTTTACAATCGAAAAACATAAAATACATACAAAACTAATATAAGACCTAAATATAGAATCCCCCAAATATTATTCATGTATAGACATTCACCTGTTGTATCCCGTGGGTCTGCCCTCGCTGGCGGGGGAGGCGCGGCGCGTGCGCACGAAGTACGGCGCGTCACTAGCTACGGACAACATCATACATCACTCATATTACTTTGTAAGGATGGATGTTGGAAGGTACTAAACTGTTGTATGGATCTTCATGAAATTTGGCTAAACACAGGCTATGTATTACTTTTTAATTATTAACATAGTGTCTACAATAACACCGTTTTATTATTAAAATGTACACTGTAATGATAATATCTGAATATATTACTAATATTATAAATGCGATAGTTTAGATGGATGGATATTTGGTTAGAGTTTGTAGCCTAAACCGTTGAATGGATCTCGATGAAATTTGGTATATATGTAGAACATCTGGAAGGACACATGGGCATTACTTACTTTTGTTTTATTTTTAACTAGCTTTCGCCCGCGACTCCGTCCGCGTGAAATTTAAAAAAAAAAACAAAATTGAGTAGCCTATGTGTTCTTCCAGACTATCCTCTACATCTACGTGAAACTTCATAAAGATCCGTTCAGCCATTTAGGCTACAAACTCTAACAAACATCCATCCATCCATCCATCTAAACTTTCGCATTTATAATATTAGTAAGATTTTAGTGGAAACGAAGATAGTTTTTTAATATGTGCGCATACCCCCGGAGGACGCGGCGCGGCGGCGCACGTGCACGCGCCCGCTCGAGTGGTCTCCGTCCGCCTCGCAGCACGCAGACGTCTCCCACATCTAAAACATTGTACACGTTAATAAACAATATTAAAATATAATAAAACTTTATTTCATCTATACTAATAATATAAATAAAGAGAGAATATTTGTATTGGCGCCTATGTCACCTTCATCTAAACCTACAAAAAGAAAGATCCCACAAAAAATATGAAATATAAAAAAATGCCGAGTCCCGCGTTCCCTATAAAAAAGTGTTAGATGTCATGTAAAACCTAGTCATTTTAGTGCCTATTATGTCATCATCATCATCATTGTCAGCCATAGGTCGTCCACTGCTGAACGTAGGCCTCCCCCATTGATTGCCACAATGCCCGGTCCTGTGCCGCCCGCATCCAGTGCACTCCCACAACCTTGACCAGGTCATCGGTCCATCTTGCGGGAGGCCTACCTACGCTGCGACGACCTATCCGTGGCCGCCACTCGAGGACTCTTCGGCCCCATCGGCCGTCCGTTCTGCGGGCAATATGGCCAGCCCATCGCCACTTAAGGTTTGCAATTCTTCGGGCAATGTCGGTTACTTTGGTTCTGCTGCGGATCGCATCGTTCCTGACGCGATCTCGCAGAGAGACTCCGAGCATTGCCCGCTCCATTGCCCTTTGAGTGACTTTGAGCCGCCTGATATTGCCCGCAGTGAGTGGCCACGTCTCTGTCCCGTATGTCATCACTGGCAACACACACTGGTCAAAGACTTTTGTCTTGAGACACTGCGGTATGTCTTGGGACGAGAGGATATCCCGCAACTTCCCGAACGCCTATTATGTAACCTTGGCAATTACATGGTGCCATTTTCAAACTAAAATACGTTATTCTCGAGACATTTGCTTAGATTTAAAAATTGAATAAACAGCAAGTGGTGTTCTTTGAAAATGATGGCGCAAGGCTACATAATAGGCACTAAAATGACTAGGTTTTACATGACATCTCTTTTGTAGGGAAGCGAGACTCGGCAGTTTTTTACATTTCATATTTTTTGTGCGTGTTTAAATTCG